TTTCCATTCTAATAATTGAACTTTTAAAATTTGATAACATTTTTTTCATCATAATTTTATTTTAGGATTTATTACTTTTTTAAAGATACAAACATAATATGGATTCAAATGACCTTAAAGATAATCGCAAACATATAAAATTATATTTAGATAAAAGAAAATCCAATGTTATGTCCACCATGTCAATATGTCAATAGTTTTTTTATTAGTATACATTCAACTACCTACTTATTATCATTTCGTTTGTATTTATTTTGAAATTTATTTTAATATATATATATATATATATATATATATATATATATATATATATATATATATATATATATATATAATGTTTACACCTTAATTTTCAACATCATTTTTAAAAATATGTCTATATTTTTTTTATTAGTATATATTGAATTACTTATTTTATTCACTATTATATCTTTTTTATTTATGTAAAAATATTACTTAAAAAGTATGTAATGTTTACAAGTTTATATTATTTTTTTTAATAAACTCATATACTATACTAGGCGAATGTCTGCGCGTTGCGCAGAAACACCTATATAGTTGAAGTCTTTACAAATATATGTTTTTTTAATATAACAATAATGTTGTTAAATTTGATATAATAATTCGTATACTAAATTGATATACTGTATTGATTATTTTGAATTATATAATAATATATACATCTATTATAACTGCATAATCTCAATCGTTTGAATGACTTCTACCCGCGAGTTACTCATGAATAAAATTAAATATAATATATAATTTAATGTTATTTATAGTTGTTGTTATTGTTAATTAATTTTTTAAATTTATTTGCTTAATGTTTTAATTTCTATCATTATAATTATTTAAAACATCAAACATTGTTTTTTGATTTTAAAGGTAAAAATCATTTATATAGAGTTATTTTAACTATTGTTATTGTAAATTATTTTAAGCTCTTTATTTGAAAACTTTTAATGATTATAAAAATATCTTTAAGAAATATTTTAGTTAAATTGAGATTACAATTTAGTTTTTGCATTTATCACTACAATTTATCACTTTTAACTATTTACAAAATATTCTTTGGTTTTTTAAGTGGAACTGGAATTTATATTTAAGTTGACATTGTAATGTTATATTTAAAATAACAATTTAAGTATTTTGTCCAAACTGTTCAAAAGTTGTAGCTTTAAACTGATAATGTTTTACAAACAACAACATATTAAATCTAATAAATTAAGTATAATATGTTAAAAGTTAAAGACATAACTTTATAAGTAGAAGTAAAGATATTATCTTAAAATTGAAATTTTGTATATTTATGATTACACTTTAGGTTTGATATTTATTTAACCTTATTAACCAACTTATAATCATTATTAGAAAAACACTACAATTAATCACTTTTAACTATTTACAAAATATTATTTGGGTTGTTTAAGTTAAACTAAAATTTATATTTAAGTTGACCCTGTAATGTTATATTCAAATTAATAATTTAAATATTTTATACAAATTGTTCCAAAATGGTATCTTTAAAATGATAATGGTTTTTATCCAACAATATATTAAAACTAATAAATTAAGTATAATATATTAAAAGTTAAAAACATCACTTAATAAGTAGAAGTAAAGATATTATTTTAATATTGAAATTTAGTTTATGTATGATTACACTTTAGGTTTGATATTTATTTAACCTTATTAACCAACTTATAGTTATTATTAGAAAGAAATTGAAAAGTCATGGGAGTTTCAAATGAATGTGGTGAAAGGAAAAAAATATGGGAGTTTCAAATGAATGTGGTGAAAAGGAAAATGCTTCATTTATAATATAGTATGACTAGTCTTACACCTACTGGCATAATAGATATTGAACCATAGTTTCCATCAAAGAACCAATAAAAAAATAGATGGGTATGAAGAAGCAAAAACATCAATAACGTTAATTTAAATATTCAAAAAACGGCTCTAATACCACAGAAATTGATGATTACTTAATATAATTATACGTTATAAACACCATAGTTGAAAAAAATAGTTTATTAGACAAATTCACAAAAACCACATATCCAATTGAATGAATCTATTAAATAAACCAATTAACAACTATATAGTGTTTTCAAGAAAATATCTTTAATCGATTTACGGACGATGATCTTTGACGTAGAAGCTTTGTTTAAAAGTTTGAACAACTCCACGATATCCACTAGCAAACTAGAAACCCCTAACTGAATGTAAATTCTTCAATCATTAAGCAAAAACACCACCTTCTTAATTGTTCTTGCTTGAAGAATATCGCAAACCATGGATTTGGGTTTCGACTAGGAGGATGGGAATGAGGAGAGTAAATTACGGTTTCAAGGATTAGTTTCCTGAACGACATGATAAGCTTCCTTATATATTAGCTCTAGACTAGATGGGTGAAAATTTAAATTTCTAAGTCATTGGCCAGCAATACCCTAACTCAAATTAAAATTTTAATTAATTTTGTTAACTATACAATATAAACCAATGTTGTAAAAATCCGTCTAGGTAGCCGATTAGTTGTTTGGCAGTCTCCATCTGCCCACGAATAATGATAAACAGTCGTATTAGGCGAGCTAGGTGACTATTAATCGGTATAAACGGTCAAAATTAATAAAAATGTCAACATGTTAAAATTATTAAAAAAAAACAATCAAAATCAGTCGACAAAACCGATAAAAATCAAAACTAAAGAAAGGAAGTACACGAATGTTTAACTACATGTATAATTTCAACTTCACATTTCCTTGTGTCCCATTAGGTCAAAGCATACATTTCTTTGTCTGTCATCTTGAAGACATGACCTTCATGTCAACACCAATTTATGTGTTTCTTAGTATTAACTAAGTGAGAATTTACTATTTGTTTTAACTTTTACCTATAACTTTTTTATGTATCTAAACATAAAATAAAATAAATTAGACTTTGCTATTTGATGATATTTATTTATTTTTAAATTACTTCTTTTATAATTTAGTGTCTTAGATTACTCTTTTAAACTCACTTGATTGACTATCTATCACTTATCAATTTTCCCGACCTTGATACATAAACCCTTCTAAATGGTAATAAAAATAAATCGTTACATTTATTCATAAATAAAATTTTTATTTATTTTTCTTATTTAATAATAAGTAAACCTTTTATTTATTTTAATTGATTCATAATAATAATATTCACAAATAAATAATATTTATCCGATTTTTTATTATTTTTAGGTGGCTTCATATGTTCATATATGTTTATCAATATAGTTTAAAAAAAATTATTATTTGCACGTGAATACAACTTGTCACACGAGTGTTACGTGACGTTATGGTGCGTCAAATATGTAACATTGCTACGTGAGCTTGATAGATACTATGTGATGTCATATCAACTTGATAACTGATTAAATATAATTTTTTTGTCTGCATTAATATTGTCACCAATAAAGTTGGTGACAAAATGTATTGGAAAACGTTAGAAACAAAAGAATTGCTAGTGTGACAATTTATGGTACAAAAGTACAATTAACCCTGAAAAAATTTATGTTGTGGGGTTTATAAAAAAGTTAAAACAAAAGGATGTCTTAAAGATTGTCATGTGATAGGGTGATGAAGAAGTTATTATTGGCATTTGTTTGTTAAACCCACGAAAGCAATTCAAAACCCTTGGGTATCATGTGAATTTGAATTTTCTTCTTTTGTAGAATTCCCCCATTTAAAAATTTTAGTTTTTTATTATAAATATAACTAGTTTTAAGAATTCCAAAACAATAGATTATAAATCTATAAAATAATCTTTTAAAGATTATCTTCAGCCCAACTAATAGGAAGAATCAAAGAAAACAATGAAGAAAGTATGTTGACCAAGGGGCGGTGGTCAGAGTGTCAAGGATTCTGATGTTTGACTAAAATTCATCATCAAAAACTGAAAAGAGAGAAGCCATCAACAGAAGAAAATATTGTATTTTAATTTTTAAGTGGTGTCTTTATATGATGAAATTAAAGACGAATAAAATTGCGTATGTTATTGAAACTAAAAAAGATTTATAAATGTTTTGTTTGATGAGAATGAAAGAAATATTCCTGATGCAATATGATTCCCTCCATGTTTTTACTTTCATTCCGGTTAAATTTTTTCCTTGGATTGGGATGAAGATTTTCAATATAACCAATTTTAATTTTTTTTTTTTTTTTTTTAAGATTTCATGAATTAAATCATAGTTTTTTCTATAAAAAAAACTATATGTTATAATCATATTTGGATTTTAATAAGTTCTACGAGCATTCATTGTTTTTTTCTTATATTAATTACTTGTAATTGGATTATATATGTTCGCCACACAATTTTTGGAAGCTTTTAGTTTTTCCGCTTGTAAGAAAAAGCTCAAAAAATAAAAGTTTATTCATCAGTAGAAATTCCTAGCTTTTATCTTAAACAAAAAACTTCAAATCCATAAATTACTTCTAATCAAACACTCATATACAAATAAAAGTCACATCCACTACCAACTTTCAGCTAGTTTTGTCAACCATTTATAAAATAGAGGAAAAACCCATATACAATATTTACATATACAAAAAATCAATATAAAAATTCATTCCTTTGTCACAAACCAACTAAACATGAAACAATTTCCAGATATTTTTACCAAACATTTTTCCACAAAAAATAATATATATATATATATATATATATATATATATATATATATATATATATATATATATATATAAAAGCTTCGACCTAGTTTTACCAAAAATATCCACATCAATAATATATAAATTTCTTAACATTACTTATTTTTATGGAATAATATCCCGTTTCATTACTTTTCATTACCTAGCTCATTTGCCTCATCTATCATCTCATTCCATCCAAAACAAAAACCCTTACAAAATACCTCAAAATCAATCTTCATTACTAACCTATAACGAAGATGATTGCATCAACGACATCATCACAATAGATTCACTATTAACTATTAAGACATTATAAACTCAAGAAAAAAAAACCCATCAACTATTTTGGCAGATTTCATACATCATGATAAGAGAAAATAAACTTTCTCCATCAATACTAAACTACAACAAACTTAAAAGTGTTAGAAGCACAACAACAAACCAAAGAGTCTACAAAAACAAAATAAAAGAAACCTAAAATCACTACCTACATCCAACAATCACAACTCTTTCTTTCAACTTTCAACTTTCAAATTTCAAATTTCAAATTTCAAACTCTCAAATCATCTATCTTTCCTTTCCCCTCGACCCCGTTTCTTGATAAACCTAAACAACCACAAAGATTACTTTTGATCACAAACAAAAAAATAATAATAATAACGAAAAAGGTGGAAGCTTTTTTTTTTACCTGTTTCTCCTCTTCTGTAAGAGTGTTCCATAGAACTTGAATTCTTTTACGGATGACATTTTCTTGACCATGGTACAATGGTTTTAACCTGACATAATGCTCAGTGAAAAACACATCATAGCCACTTGTGTCTACTGCATCTAACTCAGGTGAAGCTTCCCTTAATGCAAGCTGATATTGATACATATTATTATTATGGCTTCCATGAGAACCCACTGAAGCTTCAGATGGAATATGATAAAGAAACCCTGAAAGCTTTTCAGATCCCATTTCTACACTGACAAGATAACCATGTTCAAATCTGTTATCAATTGTCCCAGTTACTTCTCCCCCTACTTCAACAACTCGCCTTCCTACAAAAAAAGAAAAAAAAAAATTAATTATTTTCTTGATTTTTTTTAAGTCAAAAAAATGTTTAATGGGAAAGAAATAAAGATTGAATCTTTCATGGTAACCTGACCAGAAAAGAGATTCTTGAGAGAGCCAGAGACTGAGCCATCTGTGAGCCTGTTTGTAACATCTGTTGGGAATGAAGGGCAGTTTGGTCATAAAGTTTTTATGTTGAATAAATTTGGGAAATTACATAAAAGTTAATATATTTTGGCCATTTATGTGGTAGTGGTTTAACCAATATATTTCAGTTTTTTGTCAACAAAAGCCACACAAATTTTACAATTTTTTCTAGGGTTAATCTCAAAAAAGACCTTATATTTTGTGTTTTTTATGGATTAAACCTCAACATTATTTTTTGCATGACAAAGACCTTGTATTTTTTCATTTTTCCGACCTTACCCTTTTAGTCATTTTTCTAAAAAATTGTAAAATGTGAGGGTTTTTTCGAGAAAACTAAAAAAGTTGAGGGTTTTTTTCGGAAAAAGTTGCAAAGTTGAGGTCTTTTTCGGAAAACATGAAAAAATACAAAGTCTTTTTCAGGCAAAAAAAATTTTTGAGGTTTAATCCGGAAAAAACACAAAATATAAGGTCTTTTTTGATTTTCTATGCTGACATGCTATTAAATTGATCACAATAGAAAACTCTCTCAAAGTTTAGTGGCAAAAGTGAAAATTTTGACACTAAGGGGCTGTTTAATATGCCTCTTACTTAGACCGAGTCAGACTGTTTGATATCACACTTAGAAGCCTCTTACTCAGACTTGGCTCCTCTGAATTGTCAGCCGAGTCTGACTCAGTCAGATCTCTCTGACTCAATCAGCAACTATCAAACAGACCCTAAATTTTATATTGTGACCACTTTAACCTAACGAAATTGAAATACAATACAAAAATGGCCAAAAACACAGTGCCTTTTATCAATTTTACTCAATGATGTAAAAGATGAAGTCATAAAGTATGAAATTTATACCAGGTGGAATTATGGAGGGGGGTTTTCTTGCGAAAGTAATAAACTTGTTCAAAATGATAGAGTAAAGAAAGATAGTATTTTCTCAACACAAAAGATGCGTTTGTGATTGTGGGACCAAATTTGAACACAGCCATGACTTCCTTCCATCTTCGGTCACTAACAATCTGTAAATTAAAAGTTATGTCATTTTTGTGATTTATAAAGAAAGAAAAGAAATGTTTTTGTTTTGTGTTTGATATAATGTTTTATTTAAAGGAATACGAATGATTATGATACCTTTTCGATGCCACCTCGTGATGTAACCTCTATAAATAGCCTGTGAAGATCTAAAGACTTCCCTCCAATGATAGGGATCCTAAGCATTTTAATAAAAAGATAAATAACATCTTATGAAATTACCTATATAACCTTTACCAGAATGTGATACACTATTCATAAGGTCAATTCAAGGTATTGTGTTTTGTAGTGAATTGCAGTTTTGGTCCTTATAGTATCAAATAGATAAAATGATAGAAATGGTCCTTGTGTGTAAGACAAATTTAAAGAAATGGTCCATGTCTAACAAAATTACAGAAATGGTCCCTCTTGCTGAAAATATTGTTGTTTTAAACAAACTTGATCCATTTTTATTCTTAATGCATGGTTTAGTTCTAAAATGGAAAAAGTGTAGAAGCATTACAAATTAGGGAACAAAAATGTATGTCTGGATAATCTGTTTCTTTTCTAGGCTAAATAAACCCCTTAATGAGAGTATATGACCATTTTTCCTTATATTTCAACAAACAATTTTATACTATTCATCAATTTTAGGGCGAGAGGAGTTGGGAGAAAAAAGAAGGGCAAATAGGTAAAGTTGATGTCTTAATACATTAAGCCAAGTGTTTTTGGCTTAACCCATGAAGTCATTATATCCCTTGAATTCATAAATTATATCTTTAACTTTGGGTTTTGATAAGTGATTATATATATGACAACTGTGAAGTGTGAAAAAACTATATAGTAGTTCAGGATTGCATGAGTTTTTTCATACATACACAACTTCTTTGATCTCAATCTAGAACACATGCTACATATGATGTGACAAATTAAAACATGAGAAACAGAAAACAGCAACAGAGAAAAAGATAATATTTCTAGAATTTATGGTTTTCTACTACTATTCACTTTCATACTCACTAAAGATAATGGCAATTATAGGATTCGGTGTTCATAAAACCACAGAAACTTAACAAAAACATAATATAACATCATGAAAGACATAAAAAGGAAACTCTAAAAAGAGACTAGCTATTAAAGATCAAGAAAAAGGCATTAGACAGAATATGTAATGAAACATGAAGTTTATTATCAGACCCCATTAGTTTATATAGTCTACCCTACTTAAATTGAGATAAAAGATCGATGCTTTAAACATCAAAACTAATATAGGCTTTGCATTTTGACCAGACTATACATATATTAAATCGGAAGCCACATCACCAACTGATGGGGTAACGGGGTTTTCAAATTCGTCTAACTTTTTCAGGCAATTAAACCTAATTGCGCTAAAACTTCACAGAAATATCTCACAACACTTGAATATCAAGAGCAAAATCAGGTTCGCCTCAATTACATACTTCATAACCCTATCAATTTGGTTTTCCCAAATCCCGACACTAATTTTCCCCAAATTAGAAGGCTTTCTCAATGAAAAAACCCCAACCAGACAAACACAGACACACACATAGTAAGCCATCAAAGCTACAATGAAGATCAAAGATCGAATCTTGAAGATGAGTACTGGGAAAAAGGGTAAAAGTAATTCAAAGAAATCTCGAAACGAAATCAGCAAAAATGCAATTAATAATTAAAAGGAGGTAAACAATAAACAATGTGTTGGTACTTACTTGAACTTGGTACCAAAAAGCGAGTGAAATGTCTGAAGTTTATCCAAGAAAAATTGAGGGTTTTGAGTGATTTCTTCATAAGACGCCTCTGGGGAAGGATATGAAGTCGTGGGTAAACCGTAACCATTGGTAAAGACGGCAGTTTTTGGGCCGTGTGAGAGATGATGAGGGGCCGACATTTTTAATCGGATTCGGAGGTTAAACAAGATTCGATTATATGTGTAATCATACACAATAAGACTAAAAGAGGTGAAGAATTTCGATTAAATGGAAAAATTTAAACGACTGTAGATTTATTTCAGTTTTTTTCATATCACAAGGAAGATGAACTCTTCTTTATTGGATACCGTGATTAATATCCACCCTTTGTCTAATAATGCCATGAAACCTACCTTCTTTAAAAAAATATTTTCTTTTAGTTTTTACATGTAAAAAATAAATTAATTTCTGTTTTTAAATTAAAGATCAAACTTTGCAGAGTCAGAATTGGTTTGAGTACAGTAGACTCATATACCACTTTTAAATAAAACATTAAATTTTGGAGGGTTATTGGTCAAAGCTACCCGTCTTCCCTTATATATTTAGAATATTTAAGGTTTCTTTTCCTTTATTCCGATGTAGACTTTTGATGTGTCCATATTTCTTTTTTATTTTGTTTTTCTTTTTTTTTTTCTTTATGAAAGACGTGAATATATAATATATTTGTTATTTTTTGTTGATGTGCTTTTGAATGGGAATCTTCCTAAAAAAAATTAATTTTTGATCTCATATATTAGAAAGTCATATATTTTTTTTAACATATGTGAATACTTTCCTCTTCAGTACGATTACATTTTCGTGATTTGTTTATATGTTTATAAATAATAAATAATGATTTCCTAATCGTCTTGAATGATTATGGAGGGATTTTTGTATAAACGAGCCATTTCATTGTTAAAATATTGATTAGAAATCAGTTTTAGATACAATTTGTGGAAAATTATCATGGTTTATCAAGAGTAGCTAGTATGCAGTGGTCATGCATTGAAGTGCTATTAGTTGCTATTTCCTATAATTAATCCATGCTGATGTACAACATTTTAGTGATAATTTGATGAGACTTACATACTTGACTTGTGCTTGTAGAACATGTCCTGGAGCTATCTATTAAACAAGGGATAATGACTTAAAAGGGTAACATATTTTTTCATTTGTATATATTTAGTCACTAACTTTTTTTTTTGTCTATATTTGCCCATTGAACTTTTTTTTTGTCTATATCTTACCCTTATGACCGGTTGGTGTGGGTTAATCCGGTTTCCGGCGGCCTTTGCAACACCGGGAAGATTCCGGTCATCTTCTCCGGCAAAAAATTTCAACAAGAACAATATTTTCCTAGAACTTGAATCCAAACACACATCCACACATAAACTCGATTTTGTAACCAAGAACCTCCATATCTGCTATGGTTCGCCGGAAACTCGAAGCAACTCCTCCAGATCTGTGATGAACAACAACAGTCATAGGAGATGGGTGGTGCTCCAGGGGTCGAGTGGCACTCATAGCATGAACTCATAAATTATTTGAGTTCTTTATCTTGAGGTTTATTTTCAGATCTGATGAAGAAAATAAACACACACATGAACACACACTGATGAAGAAGTCGGATTTTCCAGATCTGATGAAGATTTTCAAGTACTCATTTCATATGGGTGTTCGATTTGCAGAAATGGGTGTTCGATTTGCAGAAATCGGAAGAACAAACTCAATGTATGTCTGATTTTCTAGAACTCGATTTTCAAGAACCCATTTCATATGGGTGTTCGATTTCAAGAACCCATCTGTATGTGAGTATGACTGATTTCTTGTTCATGTTTGTATATGAGGTGTGTTTATGCATATACATGTGTTTAGAGAACAAACTCAGAAAAAGATGAAGAAAACGAACACAAACCCAAAAACTCAAACTCAAAAACTCACACTCACAAATTGTTTGTGTTTGTTTTATGGACCCGATTTTTGTGTTCATCACAGTTTCTGAGTTCATCATGATTTATGATGAAGATAACATGATTTGTGTCGGATCTGATGTTCTAATGGATTTCAAAAACCCAGATCTGATGTGTGTGTGTTTCCTTAATCTGAAAATCAAAATATGAGTCTGATGTGTGTTCCAGATCTGAAAAAACGTTGGCCGGAGAAGTTGATCGGAACCTCGCCGGAGAAGACGATCGGAACTTTGTCGGAGCTGTGAGATACGCTGGAGACCGACAAACCTATGATTGCAGGTCATAAGGATGTTTTTTAAACAGTTCAACAAGTTCAGTGGGAAAATATGGACAAAAAAAAACTTCAGTGACTAAATATGTACAAATCAAAAAATATGTTACCCTTATAAGTCATTATCCCATTAAACAAATGTATGGTGAACGAGCGAAATTCCAAGAATGCTTTAATTCAGACTTTGAGCAATTTTATTTCTAGTTTTCTCTATAGTTCTAAGGGAGTCAGGTCATTAGATAAAAGGATTTCGGAATAACAACAATACTTTGATATTATTGTTTGGGGTTACACGAATTCAGAAGTGAGATAAGATTTGATTTGGATTACAGGCCTAATCCAAAATCATAAACACCGAATACCTTTGTGAAGTTTTGTGTTCTTGAGAGACAAAATATTTTTTATGATCAATTTTGTGTATAAGAAAGTTTAACCATTTTCTTGAAACATTCATATCCTATTTATACATTAAGGAAAAGTAGTTAAAATCGTTTTGCATCTAAAAATGGCACCTTCGATCTGGTCATCTGACTTTGCTACTGTGAATTTGTAATTGTTGGTACTATATTACCACCTTCGTTCACAAAACAACAATGTTTTTTAGCATCAGCAAACAATTCAATCCAGGAGATTAATCATATCATCATGGAGGAGCAAATTATATTTCTATCATCAAAAAGAGGCGTGTTTGTTGAAGGGGTTTTTTAATCTGGGATTGGATCTGCTCTCAGATTTCCCTTCATTTAGATAATCAATATTTCTATCATCAAGCTTGAAGATTGGTTAAATTCTCAAGCATCATTGGTGCAAATCAAAACTCCTTTTTTTCTAGCCGTCGGGTGTTCGATAAAATGTCTAAATGAGTTTTTCAAGTGTTGAAGCCATTTTAGGACTCAAGAAGATGTAGAGTCTCTTCCCGGTGTGGTTTTACTTTGTGCACTCCAACCTTTTGTTGGAGTGTCACATTTTACTTTGGATTTCTTCTTCTCATTCCAAGCTTCCCCTTGAGGCTTATAAGATTTGTTTGGGTGTTTATGGCGTCGTCTCATACATATGCGAGCGGAACTTGGTTGTGTCCTTTCCGGGGGTTTCATTATTGCCCGAACGGTGAAGTAGGCGGTAAGGGGATTTCTCGTATGATTTCTCATATCAAGAGCTTGCACCTCCCTATGGATGAGCGTAGAGCTGTGTTGCGAGAGATTATTTCTTTAGACTTGGGACTGTTTATGTCAGTGGCAGCAACATTGAAGGAGTTTGGTCAATGGATAGGTGGGGATTGTATGAGTCTACATGCCTTAAGCCGCTCGTTTCGCCACTCAAATGGTCTTGTTAAATTTAATGGCGATGTTGATGACATAAGCGGACATATTGTTGGTATTCAAAAGCCGTCACCCAATGAACCGGAGACTGACCTCAATGAGGGGTTGGTGTTGGATACTCAGCTCCTTGATCTTGTGTTTAAGCTACCTATCACCACAGTCAAAAGCATCCCTCATAATTGTCGTATGGCTTTCTCTCAGGCTTTGAAACCAACCATTTCCAAGGTGGCTGCTCATCCCGGATTCGTTGAAGTGTGGGTTACATTGTTAATTCTTCCTAGATGTAATGTTCAGGTGTTCAGGCCCAAGAATTGGCAAGAAAGCAGGTCTGGGAATAGAAAGTCCTTGCAACATCGTAACATCCTAAGCGCATTAGCTACTTGGGGTACAGAAGATGTTATATCCAAGCTTGTTAAAAACTTGGTTCACAATGCAAGGTTGGAGCAACAAGGCAAAACATAAGAGTACATTTAGGAGGATAGAACACGAGGCGACACCAACGTCAGACAATGTCTTCGTAAGGTGGCAGATGGGCATTTCACGACAGTAGTGAAAGTATTATGTTCCTCGAGGGTTGCTCCATATGGAGATGCTATCACGAAGGAATTGGAGGATAAGCATCCACACAAGCCACCACCATCCATGTCGAGTATCATGTGTTCAGTACCTTCTATTGTGGTGGATATTGACAATGTCCTTGGGGGCATTAAATCATTCCCTAAAGGAACTTTGTGTGGGAGAGATGGGTTGAGAGCTCAACACATTTTAGATGCTCTTTGTGGAGAAGACTCATCTATAGCCAAAGACCTCCTACGTGCTATGACATGTGTGGTTTATCTATGGATAGGGGAAATGCCCTTCGAGTTTGGCAGAATTTGTTACCTCGGCTCCTCTTACACCGCTCTTAAAACCTGACAAGGGAATACGACCTATTGCAGTAGGCACTATATGGAGATGTTTGGTTTCCAAGCTGGCTATGAAAGGTGTTGGTAAAGAAATGGCCAAGTATCTCAATGATTTTCAGTTCAGTGTCGGGGTGTCAGGTGGCGTTGAAGTCGTATTACATAGCGCTAGCAGGGTGTTGAGTGAGCGCCACAATGACGGGTCTCTCTCCATGCTTACTGTGGACTTATCCAATGCCTTTAACCTTGTTGACATATCTGCATTACTTCATGAGGTCATATTGAGGTGCCCTTCTATATCCTTATAGGTAGAATTCCTATATGGTCAAGCAGCAAGGCTATATCTAGGAGACATGTATATTTGGTCTACTACTGGAATTCAACAAGGAGACCCTTGGGACCACTTGTCTTTGCCCTTGTGTTGCACCCGCTCTTGTATAATATTATAGACAATTGCAAGCTTCTTCTCCATGCATGGTACATTAATGATGGCACGCTTATTGGAGATTATGAGGAGCTGGCCAAAGCGTTAGACATCATTAAGGTTATTGGCCCAAAATTGGGCCTTCAGTTGAATATCAAGAAAACGGAACTCTTTTGGCCCTCGTGTGATAGTAGGAAGTTGCGTAAGGGGCTATTCCCGGTTGGCATCGGGAAGCCGCCATTGGGGGTGAAACTTCTTGGGGGAGCTGTTAGTAGAGATACTAGTTTCATTAGCAGCTTAGCCATAAAGAGAGCTGAAAACGTTGTGAATTTGATGTGCCTTCTTCTACAATTGTCTGATCCGCAGAGTTAGCTCCTTATACTTCGGTCTTGTATGGGTATTGCTAAAATTTTCTTTGGGCTGAGGACATGCCAACCCGTTCACATGGAGGAGG